CTTTCGTAAAATCCTTGATTTTGCTTTGAAAGAAGAGGGGGGCTTTTATGAGCGCTGCCCCTTCAGAAGGCCACAATGGGGCCAAAACCGTAGTAAAATCAATGAGTTTGGCTTCAAAGAAGAGGAGAGGGTTTTTTTCCCCTCCCCCCGTCGGGGCCAGAATCCTCGTGAGGGGTGTCGTTTTTCTGCCCTCCCAGGAGTCGAAATTGACCCCCCTGACGACCCGCGGAGGGACCTCTCCAGGCCCAGGGGAGGGAAGGGGCGACCCCTCCCCGAAGGGGAAGAAGGGGGGTTGAGAACAGAGAGGGCTCTCTAAACCACTCACGCCCAAAGGGCTGGTGGGATTACGAGTGCACCTCCAACATGTGCATGTTCGGCATGGTCGGCAAGGACGGCCTGCCCATGAATAAGGTGGTCAGATGGTTGGGTACGCACCCTCTCTTGATTCAGGAGCTCGACCGCCACTGCGATCACCAGCATCAGCATGAGGAGGTTTCTGGTGGAGGACCATCAGGTAATACCAGGAGGTCCCAGGTCTATACGCGGCAGCTGGCCGACGCGATCTGCCGAGGCCTGACGAGGGTCATCGAGTCGGAGGAGTTCTACCACGGCGTCCACATCTGCAGCTACTATCCAGTGAGCTACGACAAGCCGGCGTCGCACGTTCACCAGGTGTGCTACGTGGCGCCCAACATGGAGGAGCCCCGCTGGCGGGCTATCATGAGCGGCGTGGTGGACATCATGAGTCGCCGTAACGCCGGTTCGGCTACTGTTGCGAAGGACTCCGAGATGTGGAAGCAGGTGGAGGAACTCATTCCCTGGCAGCTGCTCAGTATCCAGGCCGCCTTCCAACCGAAGGCCAAGCGGCTCCGACCAGAGTTTGGGCACGACGTCCACCGGTGCTCGGTCCTGGTTCAGGAGGACAACCAGCTGGTCATCGAGCATGAGTACGTCCCTGACGCCTACGCCCCGCGCGAGAGGTTCCAGACGCCAGTCAGGTACGCGCTCTTCGTGATCGGCCGTGCTCCTGTGGGCGACCCAGTCCTACCTCGACCCACAGCCTGAGGAGCTCCAACCGTCTACCGTTCAGCAGCGCGCCGGCGACGAGATCTGGTTCGCAGGCCCGCCTCTGACGGCGGAGGAGAAGCGCGCGGCCCCGATCGTGGCGCAGATGCATCAGAACCTGAGCCACCCGCTGCAGCCCGACTTCACTCGGTTCTTGAGCAGCAGCGATGCCAGCCAGGTAGTCATTGACTTACGCCGCAGGCTTCGGTGCAGTTCGCGTCTCAGGAACGTGAAGCCGCGCCGACCGAGACCGGCCAAGATCCCCTACATCGGCTCGTTCAACTCGAGGGTCGGCCTCGACTTCTTCTACCTGCCCGACGCCGCGCACAACACTCACCAGTTCCTGAGCATTCTGGAGATGTCAGGCCTGCTGATGGTGGTTGTTTACTGCCCGACCAGGGACCCAGCTCACGTGCTCGAGGTCTTCACTATGTGTTCGCTGTCATGGGCCGGGTATCCTGATCACGCGGTGCGCGATCGCGACGGAGCCTTTCAGGGCATCTTCGTCGAGCATTTGGAACCAGGTGGTGGTCGAGAAGCCCCCCGCTGAGGCCCACTGGCAGTCGGGCCGCGTGGAGGCTAACATCACCCTCTGGAAGCACATGGCACAGCGAGTTATCGACACGATGCGCTGATCGGCCCCGACGACATGAAGCTGATGACTGCGCCGATCAACCAGTCTCGGAACTCACGAGTGCGCCAGTGCGGAGCTTCACCATATCAATGGACTTTTGGCAAGGATCCCAGGATCCCCGACAGCGTCACCGACCCTGCCAACTCCGCGGTGGTTCACAGTGCGATGACAGCAGACGCCGAGCTCGCAAAGAGGGCTCGCATCCGCGTTCTGGCGGACATGGCGTTAACCGAGTATGACAGGTCCGAGTCTCTCAAGAGGTCGATCCCCCGGGTCAATCGGCCCTACCGAGGCGACTACACCGCTGGCGACCGCGTGGCGTTTTGGCGGCTGCCCAAGAACAAGAAGGGCAAGCAGTGCCCGGCGCGGTTCATCGTGGCGACGGTGATCGGACCTGGCGGCAGCGGCGGACCAGACGACAACAACGTCTGGGTTCAGTCGTCAGGACATCCCATCCTGGTCTCGAAGGAGCAGCTGCGCGAAGCCCACGGCACCGAGATGTGGGTTCCCGACGACACCGACCTGGCCGAGCTACGCCGTGCTGCTCAGGCACCTCGCGAGAGCTATCACGACGAGCGAGCTGAACCCCCTCCAGCTGATTTGGATCCAGCCGACGTCGTGGCATCCGACATGGCGGCAGCTCTAGAGGAAGAGAGTGGCCGTGAGCGTCAACAGCCACCACGTCAGGCAGCTCTGCCAGGGCCACCGCCGCAACCTCATGCGGTTGAACCGGCACCAGTTCCAGAGGCGATGCGCGATAAACTTCTGCCAGCCGCTCGACCTCTACCAGAAGCTGCAGCTGCCGAAGGACCCGTCGCGCGACGTCCTCGTTTCTCGGAGCCACCTGAGTCAGTGCCGGCGGCTGCGCCTACATCGGATGCACCAGCGTACGACATCTTTAACGGCACTGAGCAGGAGCCCGTCGTGCCCGTGTTCGACTCCGAGCGCTGCGCGCACGACAACATGCCGGTCCGCGAGGTCTACCTCACCACGAACGGCCAGTTCACCATGACGAAGAAAGACCAGAAGGCGCTCATCAGGGAGATCCCGTGGTCGCAGATTCCCGATGGTCAGAAGCAGCTTTATCGGGGCGCCTTGGCGCGCGAAAGGCCGCCGTGGCAACGTTTCTCAGCAGTGGAGGTCCTGGACCTCAAGACTTCCAAGCAGATCTAGCTGGACGTCGAGAAGAAGAAGCGGATCATTCCATCGAGGGTCTGCTATCGCGACAAGAACGCTGGCCGAGGTGTTTCGGAGATCGACGCGAAGGCCCGCCTCGTCGGCATCGGCTACAACGACCCGGACATCCTGACTCTGAGGCGCGACGCGCCAATTCTGACACGCGTTGGCTTCTGCGTCCTCTTGCAGGTAGTGGCTAGCTGGAACTACAACCTTTTCGGCGGCGACGTGACCACAGCCTTCCTTCAGGCCGACCAACAGAAGGCACAGAGGGACAAGCCCATCTACCTTCGTCAACCTGGTGAAGGCCTTCCTGGAGTACCCAAGGGTGCCCTCCTGCTGGTGCGCCGCGCGGTTTACGGTTTCGTGAACAGCCCCCGCCTCTGGTGGCGCGAGCTCCGTGACTTTCTGATCAGCATCGGTGGCAAGCAGTGTCTGCTGGACAAGGCACTTTTCTGTTTCTACCAGGCTGGGCGCTTGGTGCTGATCGTGGGCATTCACGTGGACGATCTCATTGGTGGTATGGACCCGATACATGGTGCTGATTTGGTTGACAAAATACGCAATCGTTTCACTTTCGACAAATGGTGGAACAATGGGTTGACTTATTGTGGCAAGCGCGTGGTCAAGCAAGCAGACGGCAGTGTTTTCGTCAACCAGCGCGTTCTCCGCTCAGTGTATTCCGGCTTCCCTACAACGCTGGAGATCGGCAGCGCCAGATGCGACACTGTCTGCAGAGGAGAGGACCAATTTCTCAAGTGGCGTGGGCTCGTGTCAGTGGCTTGTTGGCCAATCAAGGCCAGATCTGGCAGCAGCGACGTCACTCGGACAAGGCAGCGATCCAACCATCTCGAACCTCATGGCCATCAACCGCATTCTGCGCGAGGCTCGCGACACCAAGGGCGCTGGTCTATCCGACGAGTAGTGCGCAGCACGTTAGCAGCAGAGGCAATGGCAATGGACGCGGGTGTCGATACTGCATTTTTCCTTCGGCACTTGTTCGCTGAGATCCTGTTTGAGGATTTCCGGCCAGGCCTTTCGGGCAAGCTTCCAGCAGATTTCATGCCCATCGAGGTGGCCGCGGACTGCAAGTCTTTGTGCGATATTCTCACCAAGGAAGGCACGCCCTCGACTACGCTCGAGCGACGCCTGAGCATCGATATTGCTGCAGTGGCCCATACGGCCGAGGAGTTTGATGACGAGAACCCGAAGCACACGGTGTTCTGGGTTCCTACCGATAAGCAGATTGCCGACCATCTCACGGAGGTCAAGCCGCCTGGTCAGCTTAACGAGTTCCTTTTCTCAGAATTGGTTGAGCTTGCGTTCCGATCAGAACCTGCCCTCGTAGAGTGTTTGGTTTTGTTTCAAGGTCAGGTGTCATGCTTGAAGTGACACACAATATCCATATTGATGTTTCTCCGCTAAGCCAGGCGTAAGGTCTGCTTTCAGTTAGACACGCGTAAGCTGCCTGTGCGAGCCCAGGCTCGCTTTAAACTCGTTTAGTTTGAATCTCAGAGTGTGCAGCCTCGTTTCGAGAAACTTGAAGCAAATGAAAAGATGGTGAGTGTAATCTCGCTATGATTTATGTTTCCTCCTCTCTCTCTCACTCGTCCCCTTGTTCTCCCTGCCTGTGCTCGTGTTGCTCTTACCTGTGTTCCCCGCTGCTGTTTTGGCCCCGTGCAGGGCCCTTGAGCTTACTGGCGCGAGACGCCCACCGTGCGCACCCGGTGACAGAAAGATCTCTTATCGTGCTTGCGAATCGGCACCATCTCCACTACGCATCAATAAACACGTTTATTGATTTCATCTTATCGAAAGAGTTACAGTCGACCGCTCAACGAATTGTCCGATTTGACTACGGCCCTTTGCTGTAGACGTTACAACATTATCCCTTTCCGTCCCCTCCGTCCCCAGACATCCGACGATGTGTCTGGTGATCAGCCCGCTGGCCCCAGGCGTCTCGACCCTGGCAGCTTTCGTCCCGGATTCATGTTTGACGGACAGGTGGCCTGCCACAGAACGTCCCCCTTAGGCCGAGATGATGCAACGACAAAAAAGCACGCCACAAGTTGGCAAACGACATCAACATATGTGTGGGCATCCTCCCCATTCACTCCCGCGACAGGTCGAGAACGTCGAGAATTTAGACCCCGAGACCGTGCAGGAGCTGCTCCAGAACCACAGGCGCCGCGCGCCTGGCGAGGTCGACAATTCTAACCCTGGGGCGTCATGTCTCTTGACCAGGGACCAGCCGCTTTCTTCCCCGCCAGTCCCAGTCGCTATGACGAAGAGTGGTATTGCGGAGGATGAGGGCCTTGGAGAGTTGTTGTCTTTCCGGGTTCCTTGGGCCGTTTGCCTTGCCACTCGCAGGCGGAGAAAATGCCGAGGAAGAGAAACCGATTTCGAATTGCCAGTATACGGAAGTACTGGCGCAGCCCGCGTGCAGAAGTTGTGTTTACAGCGAGGGGCAGTTTGCTGCCAGTCCACATGTTTGGCGGCGTGGCGAGGAAAATTAAGCATCATTCATGGTCCTCCTTCCTGCACCCCTTCATCCAGCCCACGTCCCCACATAAGAAGACTATCTGAGATAGACCGCGCATGTTGATTAGGTAAACGGGGCCCGAAGGAGTCGGCGGGTGACAGCAGCAATCGGGTAGGAGTGGCTGGACCCGCCCTTCGGCCTCCAGCAGGTAGGAGGAGCCGAGGGTTGGCCAGAGACTGATTTTGAAGGAGAGGATGAGCACGAGTAGATTAGCAACACGCCGTGCCAGGCGATGCACTGCGCCATATGTATTACCCTGCCAAGCGGGAGATGTGGCGTTCCGATCTCCGCGAGGTGCTTGCTGGTCGACTTGCGAGGGGAGGACCGTGCCGCAGGCCTCATCGAAGGCGCCGTCCACGAGCCCGCCATCGACAGCGTGCCTTTCCCGACGAGGGTGGGGAACCCTCGTTGGGGGCCTTGGCACGCAATGGCAGTGGGCAGCCTTTGGAGGAGGAGCACAAAGGGCAACGGGAGACGAGCGCACGATTGCAATTGACCATGATGTGGGAGGGGGCAGGGTACAACAGCAGCTGGCGACGCAAGCTGGTGGTGCAACAAGAGTAGCTCGAAGTTTGCGGGATGTTCAGCGACGAAGGAGCAGTTGGAGTTGTGAGCGATGAGTAAGCAAGAGCGACGGCGTGAAGTTGGAGGTTGCATGTTTGAAAGCTTGAGCGACATGAGGCCTACCCCACTAGAAATGTGTGTCTTCGCGTCTCGTGTCCGCATCAGTGGTGCTAAACCTTTCGCGACGCACTAGGCTGTGAGGGGCCGCAGCAACCAGTTGTCCGTTGCGGGCGGGCAGGTGCCATGGAGTAGTGGGATCGTGGCATTGTGGTTTGAGATGCCATGGTCTCGAAGAGTCGTGGGTTTGTAGCGTTGGTGTGGCGATGAAGATCAGTGCACGCACGCTAAGTCGCGTTAGTAGTACCACACGGTATCACCCCAACCAGGTCCCGCAGCTAGTGAAGGAGTGGGTGAACCAGAACCTCGTAGTGTTCACCTGCCAGTACCCCCCTGCCTGTTCTCGTATTCTGGCCGCTTCTCTGCGCTCACGGTGTGGGTGGAGCAGATCTGTCTCGATTATTCATTTGACGCCGTGCTTGGGAATTCGCGGGAGATTGGCCGAGTAATCTCTTGCGTGCGCCAGTCTACGACGCAGGCGCCACGTCCCGCAGGGAGTCTGCCGTGAGGTCGAAGGAGCCGTAACGCCAAGCAGGCCGCGTGAGCGTCAGTCGTTGAAAGTTTGTGTCGGCGAGCGGGGGAATGCCAGACATAGTGTGAGATTGCGAGGACCTGAAGGCCAGTTCCGCCGACTCAGAAGTGAAACGATGTGCCGCACCCTGGGCTACAGACCACCAGAGAAATAGATACTAGACTCGTTTTTGCCAAGTTGTCATACGGCTTGCGAGTTTCTAATAAAAAATAGTATCGGCATGGTTTCCGTGCCTTTTTTACAAATTGTACTCTGGCCCAAGCGTGAGCATTTTTTATGTGTTGTGTGCATTTCATGTACATTCGGATTGCAGGCGCAGGAGTACAAACAAAAATCACAAAACCGATAAACCGATAGACCGAAAGCATTTTTCGGTTTATCGGTTTATCCGTTCGTCGACCGGTAAACCTATATTTTCATGTCAGTTTATTTGCCGGTAGTCACACGAACCGGTACACCAATAAACCCGTCCTTTGGGCTTTCAGTTCTGACTGCGTCTATCGGTTGATCGGTTTATCGGCGCATTCGACGCGTAGCGATGCCCCAGTCCTGCGGTCACCGCCCTAACATCTCGGCCTGCGCCATCGCGTTTACCGGTTTATCGGTTGGTCAGTTTATTTAATCGCTTCGCTCATTCCGCCGGCCCGTATTGTGCCCTCGCTGGCGTATGAGCTTTTGTGGGCCTTGTGGGGTCCTCGTTGGGGATTTCTTGGGGGCCTCTTGGGTTTCTGTTGGAGCCTCTTTGGGGTTTCTTGGAGCTCCTTTGGGAGCATTTGGGAGCATCTTGGGGCTTCTGAGCGCCGCTTAGGGCCGAGGGCTCGATATGTCCGTCCTGGTTCCCACTTTGGGCCTCCTCTTTGGGCTGTCCCGGTGCCATCTTGGGCCGTGTCGGAGGCCTCTTGGGCCGTCTTGGAGGTCTTTTGGGCTGCCTTGGGGCGATTTTGGAGGTTTCGCGGGCCGTCTTGGAGCGTCGGGGAGCTGAACAGGTGGGAGCGCTAAATTCCTTCAATAACCAAAAAGAAAGCGACCAATTTTGCTCTCTGGGGCTCTTTCGAGACGCTTGTTGGAGGCATCTCCGGGCGTCTTGCAGGCGTCTCCGGGCGTCTGGAGGCCATTTTGAGCGGTTTGGTCCGATCGGTCGGCGATTCGGGGCTTTAACCTACCATTTTCAGTCCAAAGTGGTTGGTTTCTGCCCGCTCCTCCGCCGACTTCGGCCCCTCCCTCCACTCGTTTTCCGAGCAGCGTGCAGCAGCAGATCCAGCAGCGGAACAATTTAGCATCAGCTGATTTATTACGTTTTTCGAAACTTAGCCTGACCCAGCAAATCAGATTTCTCGAGTCAAGCCGCAGATGGTAGAGCGAAGACAATTCGGGGCTCCCATGGCCCATAGGGGAGGACACGTTCTCATTTCGCATCGTGCGCGCACTGCAGGTCGTACATGTCGCATGTTTGCTTCTAATATGTTTCAGCGGTTGCACTTATCAACCCGAGGCCCAATGCAGAGCCAGACAGCCAGCCTCTTTCTCCTCCTCCTCCTCCTCCTCCTCCTTCTCCTTTCCCTCCTCCTCCTCCTCCTCCTCCTCCTCCTGCTCCTCCGTTCGCCTCCTCCTGTTCGGAGGGCGTAGACGGCGCGCAAGCAGGCAGAGAGTCTGGGTGTTGCCAGAAGTTGGCGGCGAGTGCCGGGGGGGGGAGTGAGAAGGATAATGCCTTCTCGAAAGGCTCGGAAGCCCCCGGGCCTTCTGAGAAGCTTCGTAGGCCTTCCCCGAAGACGCAAGAAACATTCTCAGAAGGCGCGAAGGCTTCTGAAAAGTCCCGATGCATTTGAGAAGGACTTTTCTTTCTCACTTCCCCCCTCCCTCGTTCGCCGCCGAAGAAGGGCCCCTGGCCCAAGGCGCCCCCAGGATGATCCAGACACAAAGCGGGGCTCGAGGATGAGGGCCGAAAGGGGCGCGCCTCGAGGGGCACGGGGCGCGAAGATGGCTGTTCCAGAAGGGGAGGAGGAGGAGGAGTAGGAGGAGGAGGAGGAGGAGGAGGAGGAGAGGAGGAGGAGGAGGAGGGGGAGGAGGAGGAGGAGGAGGAGGAGGAGAGGGGGAGGGGAGGGGAGGGGGAGGGGGGAGGGGGAGGGGGAGGAGCAGCAGGAGGATGAGGAGGAGGAGGAGGAGGAGGAGTTGGAGGAGGAGGAGGAGGAGGAGGAGGAGGAGGAGGAGGAGGAGGAGGAGGAGGACGGGGAGGAGGAGGACGGGGAGGAGGACGAGGAGAAGGAGGAGGAGTGCCTGAGGAGGGTAGACGGAGCGCTGTGCGGAAGTTTCCAAGGATTTCTTTGTGCTCGCATCGCTGGCACTTGCTAGCGTGGTCGAGGGGCATTTGGGGGGCCGCTTGGGAGCTTCTTGGGAGCCTGTCGAGGGTCTTTGGGGGGCCTCCTGAGAACTTCAAAGGGGCCTCTTGGCGCCTCCTAGGGGCTTCCTAGGGCCGAGGGCTCGAAATGTTGTTTCGTGTTCCCCCTCTGGGGCTTCTCTTAGGGCGTTCTTGGAGCCCTCTTGGGCCGTCTTGGAGGCCTCTCGGGCCGTCTCGGAACCCCTTTGGGCCGTCTTGGGTCCCTGTCGGAGGCCTCTGGGGCTTCTGAAACTGATATTTGGGGCCTCTTGGGCCGCCTTGGGGCGGCGCGATGCCGAAAATGTGGAGACGCCAAAATCTCACAAAAACCTCAGGAACAAACAATGGATGTTGCCTCTTGGTGCCCTTTTGGGAATGTTCTTGAAAGCCTCGTGGGGCGTCTGGGGGTTATCTCGAGAGCCTTTGGGGGGCCTCCTGGGGCTTCAAAGAAGCCTCTTGGCGCCTCCTGGGGGCTTTTTAGGGCCGAGGGCTCGAACTGTTGTTTCGTGTTCCCCCTTCTGGGGCTTTTCTTAGAGCGTTCTTGGAGCCCTCTTGGGCCGTCTTGGAGGTCTCTTGGGCCGTCTTGGAACCCTATGGGGCCGCTTTGAGTCCCTGTCGGAGGCCCATCGGGCCTCTTAGGGCGATCTTGGGGCCTCTTGGGCCGTTTTGGGGCGTCGCGATGCCGAAAAGGTGGAGACGCCAAAACATTCGAGAATCAGCCGTTGCCTGAAGCCCACTAAACTTCAAGCTGGATTTGACCAAGATATGACAAAGTGTGAGGAACTGGCTGACATACCGACACAAAACGAAAACGCCAGAGAAGCCCCAGAAGCCGAACCACCGCAGGAGGATGGACGGCCTCCTGAAATATATGAGAAATCGAAAGCGGACCTTGAGGCACATATAAAGGAAGTGTGGTACACAGAACTACATGATGAAAGGCAACTACATGGGGGCAACGCCACTAGACGACCTTACACTGTACCCACACATATGATTACCGACAACATTGCGCTGGCCACTGTAGCGGAAGAAAAGCGGGGCACCTGCCTAAGTGGGGACACCCACGCGACTCCGACATCGAGGGGACGTAGCATGTCCCATTACGTTCCACGGTCGGAGACCACATTTACGGATTAGGTTCAGACGAAAACGGTCCACATGTAAAGTTCTGTTTCAAGGAAGACGACCTTCTCGCGAAGGCCGACGTCCAGGCGAATTCCGAGAAAGTATCAAAGGCCCTATATACTGAATTAAAGACATGGCTTGGCAACAAGTGTTTCAATATGCGTGATATATCTAAAGCGTCAAACGTCATGACCTTGAGGCGCGCACGCACATGGAAGTTCGCGAAGACGAAAAGGGCGAGATGGAACGCGCCATCACATTACTCCTGGCGCTTCGAGTTCCCATGGGCCTTGAAGCATTCGACGCGGGAACCTTCTCAGGGGCAGCGCGGCGGCCATGCCAGATATTACTCACAAGCACGGCAGCGCGCAAGCAGCAATGCATCATTGCATCCCTCGGCTTCAACATGGCCTTCCTGCATGCGTTAGCCTGCCGGGAAGTTGCCGAGGCAACTGGTGGGAAAGAACGCGCGGCGTGCTTAGCTTGGTCGCCTGGATCGGCCATGGTGCTTCGCCCCCCCCCCCAGGATTCGCGCGCAACGACGAGTCGAAGCGTTGCCAGCAGCGCCTCAAGCCAGGCGCCTGCACCAAGGATGCGCCGAGAGCTTTCTCACTGAAGCTCAGAGAGACCACGAGAGGCGTTGGCCTCAAACTCACATCCTACGACGAGGAGGTCGATCCGAGCAGCAACCTGCCCACAGCCAAACATGTTGATGATGTATTTACATGGCCGGCACTGAGGACGCCATTGACAAGTGCGTCAAGTGCGTCGAGGACTTTTTTGGCAAGTGCAAGTTCAACAAACATACGTATACCAATTGCGTTGTGAGGCATACCAGGGATGAGGGCGGCAATCCCACATTAGACCACGACGAATACATTCAACAGGCCCGTCCTATACAACACCTGAACTCTCCAGCGCCGGCGCTGACGCCAAGGCATCCAAGATGGCTGCAGACATGTTCGTCAGCCGCAGAGGCGCATTGGCTTGCGCATTAACCACCCAAGTGTGGTTGATGGTATATGTGGTCTCTACAACGTGTCCAAGAACCGGCCAATATACACATGCGACGACCGAGCGCGATGGACAGGAAGTTGCAGGCCTGCCCAAAGAAGACCGCCTACCAAGCGATGACTCCAAGGGACGAAGTTGACCTGCACCGCAACTCTGGCTATCGACGCCAGAGTGGAGATGCCGACGACGAAGTCAAATGCTAGGGCATTCGCGGGGCAAACCTGCTACGGCGTGGAACCACGCTATCTTGTAAGCTTGTCGCCCACTTAATCGATGC